TTTATAGAGAGTGGAGAGATTGAGATATAAAGGAGATGAGGTTTTGGATGCTCCTCACGAACTGAACTCTCGGCCAGTTATAGCAACAACAATTGAACGTGCGAGGAGGAATCGCAACTGAAAAATCTGCAGGCCATAGGAGGGAGAAGACCGATTCTCGCGCTGCGTGGGGAGAGCAAGGGATCTGATCAATTGCACGCCCATTTACTTCAGCTTTGGGCCAAGCCTAAGTAAAAGAAGTGGGCCAAAGTCACAACTCAAATTGGGCCAACATATGATTAACTTGGGCCAAGGATTTTAGTTACATTGGGCTGGAAAAAGAGTGACAAAAGGCCGATGAATTAAATCGCTATCGGGCCGAAATAAAAAGTACGCGGTACTAGGAATTTCTGATCGATTCGATTAGACGACGAGGGACAAATAAAAATTAAACCGGACAGTATAAATATAAACACATAATATTTAAAATAATAATATTAAAAATAAAAATATGCATTGAGACAAATAATTACAATTTGACAAATAATTACATATAGACATTCAATTATAATAAAATAATAATAATAATAATAATAATAATAATAATAATAATAATAATAATAATGGAGACAAATTAATAATAGCAATAATCAATAATTACTCCCAAATAGTCCACAATAAAACGGGGTATTACACACACGCACACACAACACACAGAAATTAGAAAATCCGGCTCGGGTCGGTTCACATGTGCGGCGCGGTCTATTCTTGGATCGACGATTAATAATACTTGGGCTCGAACGAACGATAATAAATTAGATAAATACATATATATTTTATACACAAGTTATTTTAAAATAATAATAGTAATAATCAAAAATATAAATTTAGCAATTTAATTGACAATTAGACACATAATATTTATACTTAATTCATGTTAAGAACATTTAATCATTTAGGCAACTAGATAATTAAATATGAATAAACACACAATAATAATAATAATAATAATAATAATAATAATAATAATAATAATAATAATAATAAAATAATCCAATTTATTCATAACCGAACGGGGCGTTACAGTCCACCCACCTTACAAAGAATTCTGTCCTCAGAATTTGAAAATAAAAATCTAGAAAGCGATAAAATACAAGAGGAACTCAGAACTCAAAGTTTGGACAACGCCTCCTAATATCGACCTCCCTCTCCCAAGTCGCCTCAGACTCATCGTGTCGGCTCCACCGCACCTCAGCTGATGGACCTTTCGGTCCAAGATGGCTGTCGGTACCTCCTAGTAGGTAAGGTCTCGCTCGACCTGCAGCTCGACAAAGTCCACCACATGACCAGGATTATGCACATACCTCAGAAGCATCGAGACATGGAACACGTCGTGCACACCCAACAAGTCTGGTGGTAAAGCCAGTCGATACGCCAAGTTACCGAATCGATCGAGGATCTCAAACGGCCCGATATAGCAAGGTCTAAGTTTCCCCTTCTTCCCGAAGCGAATCACACCTCTCATGGGTGAAACCTTCAAGAAGACATGATCTCCCACTGCATAAACTTGTTCTTGCCTCTTCCGGTCGGTATAGACCTTCTGCCTCTCCTAGGCAGACCTGATGGTCTTCCAAATCTCCTCAACTGTCTCTGTAGTACTCTGGAAAAACTCCAGACCCGTAATCCTCCTCTCTCCAACTTCATCCCAATACAAAGGAGTCCGGACCTTACGTGCGTACAAAGCCTCGTACGGGGCCATCTTGATCGAAGAGTGGCAATTGTTGTTATAGGTCAGCTCGACTAGCGGAAGGGCATACTCCCAAGTCAGGCTTCGGTCCAAGACCACAGCCCTCAATATATCCTCCAAGTACTGAATCGTACGCTCCGACTGACCATCTGTCTCGGGGTGAAAGGATGTACTGAACTCCAACCTCGTCCCCATGGCTCGATGCAACGTCCTCCAAAACTGGCATGTGAACTTAGGATCTCGATCAGAAACAATCTCCACGGGCACCCCATGAAGCTTCACAATGTCCTTGACGAACAATTCGGCATAATCACTCGCCTTCATGGTCGTCTGGACTGGCAGAAAATGGGCAGACTTCGTAAGGTGATCCACTATCACCCAAATCGAATCATGCCCGGCCCTCGAACTCGGCAGTCCCACCAAGAAATCCATGGTGATGCACTCCCACTTCCACAGGGGAACCTCAAAGAGCTGCAACAACCCTCTCGGTTTTTTGTGCTCACCCTTCACTTGTTGACACACCAGACACCCATCCACGAACTTCGCTACCTGCCTCTTCTTGCCTGGCCACCAGAAAGACTTCCTCAAGTACTGATACATCTTTGTGCTACCAGGATGGATGGTGTACGGGGCACTATGGGCCTCCCTCAAAATCTCCCTTCGTAGTTCCCACACCTTTGGGGTACAAAGTCTACCCACGAAGACCAAGGCCCCATCAGAAGCGACTGTGAATCCTCCAATTCTACCGGCTTCTGAAAACTCCCTCATTCGGCATAAGAAACGGTCATTCGGTTGCTCGGAGACTATCCTCTCTCGAAGAGTCAGTCCCACAACCAAAGAGTCCAACACACCCCCGGCTGTCGAAGTCGACTCCACTGCCTCTAGCTGTAATCGCTCGAACTCCCGAAGAAGAACATCATGCCCGGTGAATAGGAAAGACAACTGGCCATAACTCCTCCGACTAAGGGCATCGGCTGTTACATTAGCTTTCCCAGGGTGATAGCTAATGGTGCAGTCGTAGTCCTTGACGAACTCCAACCACCTACGTTGCCTCATGTTCAGCTCCTTCTGAGTGATAATGTACTTTAGGCTCTTGTGTTCGGTAAAGATCTCACACTTGCCTCCATAGAGGTAGTGCCGCCAAATTTTCAAGGCGTGGACAGCTGCAGCTAACTCAAGATCATGAGTGGGGTAGTTCTGCTCGTGAGGCTTCAGCTGCCTCGAAGCATAGGCTACGAGCTTCCCCTGCTGCATAAGGACACATCCCAAACCCATCTTCGAAGCATCACTATAGATGGTGAACTCCAAAGTACGGTCGGGTATGGATAGGACAGGCGTGGTAGTGAGTCTCCTCTTCAACTCCTGGAAACTCTCCTCGCACTTAGGACTCCAATCGAACCTCACGGCCTTCTTCGTAAGGTTGGTCAGTGGCTGGGCTATCTTCGAGAAGCCCTCGATAAACCTCCTGTAGTATCCTGCTAACCCCAGGAAACTACGACATCCGCGACACTTTTTGGGGTATCCCACTTGCTCACTGCCTCAATCTTGCTGGGATCCACCTCAATGCTCCGAGCTGTCATAATGTGGCCAAGGAATGCCACACGGTTCAGCCAGAACTCGCAATTCGAGAACTTAACATACAACTTCTCGCGGCACAGAGTCTCCAGCACAATCCTCAGATGCTCCTTATGTCGGTCGATATCTCGGGAGTAGACCAGAATGTCATCGATGAATACAATGACGAACTGGTCCAGGAAAGGATGAAAGACCCTATTCATAAGGTCCATGAAAACGGCTGGGGCATTGCTGAGTCCGAACAGCAAGACTACGAACTCATAATGGCCATAGTGGGTACGGAAAGCAGTCTTAGAAATATCCGACTCCCGGATCTTCAGTTGATGATAGCCAGAACGCAAGTCAATCTTTGAGAAGATGTTGGCTCCCCTCAGCTGGTCAAAAAGGTCCTCAATACGGGGAAGGGGGTACTTGTTCTTGACTGTGAGGGCATTCAACTCCCGATAGTAAATGCACATGCACATCGATTCGGCTTTCTTCTCTACAAATAGGACAGGCGCACCCCACGGCGAAACACTCGGACGAATAAAACCGAGCTTGAGCAACTCCTGGAACTGGGCCTTGAGCTCTTGAAGCTCCTTCAGCGCCATACGATAAGGGGCCTTAGAAATGGGGTCGGCTCCCAGGACTAGGTCAATGATGAACTCCACCTGGCGGTCCTCTAGGCAAATCATCAGGAAAAACGTCGAGGTACTCGCAAACGACGAATACTCTCTCGAGTACTCGCTCATCAACAACGTCGGACACCAAAAAAACAAGAGAGCATTGATAGCTACCCTTGGAAAGGCTCTTCCTAGCTTGCATAGAAGCGATAACTCGAGGCACAGTCCTTGACTTCACCCCAGAGAATACAATAGGCTAAATAAAATCGAAAAAGAGGGTGACTTCACGCTCCTGGCACCGGATATCGATTCGATAGCGGATGAGCCAGTCCATGCCCAAGATCACGTCAAAGTCACGCATTTCGATAACATACACGTCGGCCTCCAAAACTCGACCACCAATACAAATAGGAAGGTTGCGAACCACCAAATCAGAGATAATAATTCTTCCCGAGGCTAGACTAACCTCGAGAGGATCACAAGGACTCACAATGCTAATAGATAAGGCCTTCAAACAACAAGAACAGATAAAAGAATGGGTAGCACCAGTATCACACAATGCAAAGACAGACACGTTCGAGATAAAAAGCATTCCAAATATAGTACCTGCGTTGCGGGCGGCCTCATCGGAGGTAATAGTATAGACTAGGGCCTGACTCCCAGTCCTCTGCTGGAACGGTGGAGGCTGCTGCTGCTGCTGATGTGGTGACGATGGGGGAAGCTGCTGCTGCTGCTGCTGGGGGAACTGCTGCTGTCTCTTAGGCTCAGGACAGACACTGGCATAGCGACCCGGTCGGTTGTAGTTGAAACAGGTTCGTTGGTCGGCTAAGCACTCGCCACTATGGTACTTGCCACATTTCTTGCAGGTTAAATTTCCAGAAGAGGTATGATTGTGCCGGTTTGGACCTCTTCGCTTTCCCTTTCGGTTATCCCAGTGAGAATCTGCCTTTTTCTTGCCCGAACTAGAACCGAGCGGCACTGATGAGATGGGCTGAGCATGCTGAACAACAGTCTGAGAAGGCTGGGAGGCATGATAATATGAAGGGACCGGAGCTATCGGGATGAGACAGCTCTCCACCTCCTGAGACCGACTCACAGTTTCGGCGAAAGACATCAGTCCGTGACTCCCCACCAGTTCACAGATGCTCTGATTGAGCCCCTTGAGAAACTTGCGGGCCTTCTTGGCATCGGTATTCACCGATTCGCCCGCAAAATGGCACATCCGGGTGAAAGTGCGAATGTACTCGTCCACAGTGGAGCTGCCCTACTACAAATGGTAGAACTCATGCTCCAACCTATCCCAAAAGCTCTGGGGAAAGAACTTGCCACGCACCATCATCTTCATCTTCTCCCAAATGAGAGCATGAAGCTCCGCCTCTGGCCTCCGAGGCCAGTGGTCAATCCACCAGTCAGAAGCCTCCTCCTTCATCTGATAATCTGCGAGAGATTCACGTTGTCGGTCCGGGAGGGGGAGCACAGCGAAAATCTTATCCAGCTCCTTGATCCACTCCAGTACCGCTGTGGGGTTCTCAGTCCCCGTGAAAGTCGGTGGATTCATTCTCTGAAACTGTACTATGAGCTGGGTAAGGTCCATGGCCGGAGGGGCCTGCTGATGACGACAAGGCGAAGAAGGAGATGAGGATGGCTGACGGTTACGGTTGTTGCGGGTATTTATGACTCTACATTGGATAAGTCGAACGAGGTTTAGCATAAAACAAAACAAAATAATCATAATTACAGAAGTCTAGAGTTTGCCCTTAAACATTAGAGTTCGATTAATCAAGGTGGATAGATCTTAAGCCCCAAATCACAAGTTCAACACAAGTAGTTTCATTGCCACATGTGTATCTTTTACATATCAAGTATTTTCATTAATACTTAAATCAACATACCTTAAGCAGCGCAGAGTGACGAAGACGAGTGGTCATTTTATAAGGTCTAAGCACACAATCACATATAACAAATCTACAGAAATGCAGACTGGCTATGATACCAAACTGTAACAGCCCACTTTGATTTTAAAGAAATTCCAGACTTTCCAAAAAACCAGTAAATAATTTTTCGAACTCATTTTTGAAAACATGGGCGTTATTCAAACATTTAACATCAACCAAGTCATATCTGGTTGTTCAGATGGTTTTCATTAACCCTTAAAACATCAATTACACATAATTATTAGCAAAACATCATAGCATGCATAATCGAACACATGATATTCAAGAAATAATTTCAATACGAATATCCAAACGAAACATTGGTCCAATAATCCCAAAAAGTATGTTTTGAAAACGATTCACCATGTCTCAACCAAAAGAGGTTCACAAGGACCACACATTATTCGATAACGGAAGCATAATCATAAAGCATAAATCAAAGACCGTCCTACTCGTCTTCCTCCGTCATCCGGCACCTGCTTAACCTGCATCCGTGAAGAGTAGGTGGGAGTGAGCACAAAATGAACGTAGTGCTCACTACTATGCACATAAATAATGACATGTCAAGATAGTATGGTCGCAGCATGAAAATAAAATAATCACATCATATCTCATCTCCTATCAAGATCACAACAACCACCTTACTCCTCTGCACATCTATTGCTAGCCGCAGAACGGGAATTTATTACCCGAAGGCGGGAGTACATGCCACGCTACGGACACAGCCTTCTATATAGACTTACTTACTTCACAAGGGCATGGCCATATCAGGACTTGACGAGACTTGCCTCACAAGGGCAACCGTACTACATCGACGGGGATAACCGTACCGACGACCGTAACAGCTCACATCGATAGGTTACATATTTCATGTTCATGCATAGATCATACTCACAGAAATAAACACTTATCATTCGTGGCATAGACAATTTAAATAAGACCCACCTGGTATCCGAAGGATGAAGTCACAGAAATTTGAGGAAAAAGGTAGGCCGAGACACAGCTCGTCACACACCTACATTACACAAAATAGTCCTATGAAAGCCTATCCAACACACAATCACTTAACTACACTCATGTGATATAAATTATCCACATACATCAACAATAACACATAATATAATTGTAGACCAAAAATGGGAATGAACAACTCGCATGGTCTCAATATTTCCAAGGTAACATGAGCTACAAGTATTCTATTCAAGTGATTCCAAAACTAATGAGCAGCTAATACATATATACACAAATTTCATGTTTATCACTTAAGCCAAAAATAGCTTTACAACCGATTTTAAGCATAAAACACTGAGGTTAAGAAATCTGCCAATGCAACTTTCATCAATTACAGCAGGTCACTAAAACAGAGATATCTCATGCCAAAAAGTTCTAAATCATGCAAACTCAAAACCTACAGAAATGACACTTGAATTGATACAAGTTCAAAGAAGAGCATTTTTACAAATAACCACGTTAAGGGATTCATTTCAGAGCATACATTTCAATCTTAAACACAGCCACTGTTTTAAAAATCTGGGCATAACCCCAATTTTGAAAAATCATATAAAATCAATTAGAACTCCAACTAACATGATTTCAACTCTCTGAGAAATCTTATAACATATACTACAAGTTTCATATTGATCATATTTTCATATAGTCACATTAAGATTGTCAAAAATGGCCCAACATCATGATTCTTAATTTTGCCTGGAATTTCAAAAACTGCTTGCAGTTTCAATTTTAAAAATTCATAATAAATTCAATTCAACTCTGAATCACGAAATTCCAAAGCTCACAGAGACATAACTCAAAGCAATACAAAATTCATGAAGAACACTAACCTAACATGCTGCCAGGTTTTCTTAAAAAAAACTGTACGCTTCGTTTCAAATCAAAATCACATGATTCCAAAGCTCACTTAAAGGCAACAGAATAAGCTATGTTTTATATGAAGTTTCTTGCCGAGAGGATACGAGCTCGTCGGATGGCACACAACGTTAGAACTCGCCGGTTGCTGGCCTGCACGGAGAAGGGATCGCCGGGAACTTGCTTGCCGAGAGCAGCGATCATGTCGAGAGCAGCGATCATGCCGGGGAGGGCTCACGCGAGTACGCTGCCGGAGGTTGGTTGCCGGAAGGGCCTGCTCGCGAGTGACGATGATGCACGATGATGGTGATTGAGGATAGTGGTGCGGATTGACGGTGGTGACGGGAAGCTGGGATGATGATGACGATGGAGGAAGATGACGGGTGGTGTGAGAAGAACAAGGAAACGAAAGAAAGAATGCTTTCTTTTCTTCTCTGGTCGCGCAAAGATGGGAGCAGAAAACAAAGAAAACCTGCGGGGGTGATACGAGCTTAGGGATTTTAATCCTCTTAAACACATGCTATTAGGTTTAGGAGATGTCTTGGTCCCCAAGACTAAATC